GAAGCCTGCCACGGCCATACAGTTTGTAACCAATATAAGTCTCTGTGTTTACTTGGTCGGGTTTGAGTGGTTGTGGGACTGGCAGGTGAGAGAGATTTGTCCTGACTGTGGGCCAGGCAGGAAAACTCTAGCTACACCTTCCTGTAGTCAGAAGTTTTCCTGTGTCCCACCAGGTCCAGCAGCCGCTCAGACCCAAATCAACATATAGAGGCTTTTATTAATTATGAATTGTATGGCCATGGCCTATGGCTCAAGCTTCTTGCTAACTAGCTCTTATAACTAAACTCAGTCCATTTCTATTATTAATCTATATGTCACCACGTGTTCCATGGCTTTACCTGTGTGCCATTCCATGCTGCTCCCTGGACAGAGGATATCTCCTTCCTCTCCTTTCTCCTCCCACTATCTCTCCTGGATTTTCCCACCTGGCTCCATCCTGCCCTGCCATAGGCCAATGCAGCTTTATTTATCAACCAATCAGAGCAACACATATTCACAGCATACAGAAAGACATCCCACAGCAACTTCCCACCATGATGATCATGGGCTGACCCTCTAAAACTGTAAGCAAGTCTTAAATGCCCCCTTGTAAAAGAATTGCCTTTGTCATAGTGTCTCTTCACAGCAATAGAATACTGATTAAGACTATGGATGTATGCCTGCGTGAGTTCCTGTGCCCCATGTGCATACAGGTGCTTGGCCACACATCCTTTATAAACCAACTAAAACAGTCAAATTGATAGTGAAAAAGCAGAAAAGAAAGATTTATTCAGTGTGGTCTCACTGGAAAGAAAGACAAGAAAATCCAGATGGACCCCCAAAGGAGTCCATCTTTGGGGTTCTGAGAAGGGGCTAAGGTTTAAGTAGAGGCCGTAATTATGCATATCTGAGTAGTCCTCACCCAGGCATGGTCCTGAACAAAACTGGTCCATCATTGCTCTCCTGTACAGCAGTCTAAATGGTTGTAAATCTCTTTCCTGAAGATGAATTTTCCCCAGTCTGGCCAGAGCCTGAGGCTTTCCTCTTCTCCCAGCATAAGATTCTTAGGGTCCATTGTCTCAATACCCTCTTAGTGAGATTGAGGGGCCAGATATCTCTTTAGAACATCACATCTCTACAGGCTAGTCACAAGGAGACTATGGGAAAGAGATGTTGTGGGAATAGAGGACAAGGAAAGCTAATAAGAGGGTAAATGTGATCAAAGTATGTTGAATGTATTTATGAAGATATTATAATAAAATTCATTATTTTATGCAATTAATAAACACTAGTAAAAGTAACATTTTCTAAGAACAAGAAAACAAATCAGTATGAAATAGAATGCACCCACATGCATCATCCTAATGAGTTTCAACAGCCATCTGGGAGCCAAAATTCCTACCCATAGGCCTGGCCCAACAGAGCTGTGGGTATCTGTGCTGGTTAATTTTATGTCAATTTGACACAGGCTAGCTAGAGTCTTCTGAAAGGAGGGAACCTCAACTGAGAAAATTCCTCCATAAAATCTGGCTGTAGGGCATTTTCTTAATTAGTGATTGATGGGAAAGGGCCCAGCTCATGGTAGATGGTGCCATCCCTAGGTTGGTGGTCCTGGGTTCTGTAAGAAAGCAGTCTATGCAAGCCAGGGAAAGCAAGCCAGTAATTAGCACCCTTCCATGGCCTCTGTATAGCTCCTGCCTCCAAGTTCCTGCCCTGCCTGAGTCCCTGTGATTCAGGATAGGTAAGTCAAATAAACCCTTTCCTCCACAAGTTGCTTTTGGTCACAGTGTTTCATCACAGCAATAGTAACCCTAACTAAGACAGTGTTTCTAGGGCTGGAGAGATGACTCAGTGGTTAAGAGTATTGACTGCTCTTCCACAGGTTCTGAGTTCTATTCCCAGCAACCACATGGTGGCTCACAACCATCTATAGTGGGATCTGATGCCCTCTTCTGACATAAAATTGTACATACAGATAGAGTACTTGTATGCATAAAATAAATAAATCCTTAAAAAAAAAAAAAAAGACAGTGTCTCTCAGGTGGATATTTGGATACAATTCTGGTCTCCACTCACTCAGCAGGCAGCAATCAACCCACTGAATTTCTCTGGTCAACGAAAAAGGAATCCAGGCCAGAAAGGTAGCTCAGTGGGTAAAAGTGGGTCATGCTAAACCTGGCATCCTCTGTTTGATTCCTGAGACCCACATGGTGGAAGAAGAGACCCAACTCCCACAAACTGTTCTCTGACCTCCACATTATAAGATTCTATTGTTGTTTAAAATTGTGTGTGAGCTCAGGTGGAAGGGCCTGTGCATGTGTGTGTGCAGGTCCCGTCAGAGGCCAGAAGAGAGTGTCAGAGTCCCTAGATCTGGAGTTGCAGAAGATTGTGAGCTACCAGACATAAGTGCTGGGGACCAAACTCAGTTCCTCTACAGAAGCCACACATGCTCTTGATCACTGGGTCATCTCTTCAGCCACTGATTAAAATAATCCACACAAGAGAAAATTGTCATGGTTCAGCTTCCTCCTCATGTCTAGACGTCACTATTTAGCAGTAAGAATCCTGGTCCTCTGGCTCTTACTTAAGCACATGCACATACAAGCAACACGAAATGGATGAGAGAGAGCATAACAATAATAATTTTAAAAGAAGACATTTTAAAAGAAGGCTGGAGAGATGGCTCAGAGGTGTAGAGCATTGACTGCTCTTCCAGAGGTCCTGAGTTCAATTCCCAACAACCACATGGTGGCTCACAACCATCTGTAATGAGATCTGATGTCCTCTTCTGGTGTACAGGCGTACATGCAGGCAGAACACTGTATACATAATAAATAAATAAATCTAATTTTAAAAAAAAAGTCAAAAATTTGAGAGGGCACATGAGAGGAGTTGGAATGGGGAGAGGGAGGGCTAGAAATTACATAAATACAGCACTCAAGTATGAAATTCTAAAAAACTAAAAAATTAAAAACAGGGGGAAAGTAAGACATGGACCAAGCAAAGGGCATCGGCTGAGTATGGAAAGTGTCCCAAGTGAGCAATCTCTCCTGAAACCTTCTCTGCAGTTACTGGTTTTGGAAGAGCTCACGAGTGTGTTCATTCAATGAATAAAAATTAAAATTAACTAGCTGGAAAGACAACTCAGTGGTAAGGTCTTCAACTGTTCTTGTTGAAGACCTGAGTTCAGTTCCCAGCACTCACCACCAATGGCTCACAACCTCCTGTGACTCCAGCTCCAGGAGACCCAGTGCCCTCTTCTGGCCTCCACGGGCACTGCACCCACAAGCTCAAATACACATAATTAAAAATGAATCTTTAAAAAAAAAAAAAAAAAGCCAGGCAGTGGTGGCACACGCCTTTAATCCCAACACTTGGGAGGTAGAGACAGGTTGATCTCTGTGAGTTCGAGGCCAGACAGATCTACAGAGCAAGTCCCAGGACAGCCAAGGCTGTTACACAGTGAAACCCTGTCTCGAAAAAACAAATAAATAAATAAAACTAGAGCTAGTCAGGATCACATAAGAGCTACACTAATCCCCTCCAAGAGCAATGCCCAATTTCACCAGAGTCTACTTCTAAAAGTGTCTACTTCTGCCACACTAAGGACTAAGCTTCTAATACACGGGACATACCACATCCAGCCTAGCAGAAATACTAAGAACTCAAAGAGATTTAAAACACTAAGGGAAAGAGACCCAGTCAAAGAACAAAGGCCCTGGGGCAGAAAGGACCAACACATCAGAGGAACACAATGACAATGGGGCAGGCTGACATTCCATGGTAGGGCTCAGGTTAGAGAGGGAAGACATGAATTGGTTCAGGGAAGTGGGCTTTAGGGTATTTATTTATGTATTTGCTTATTTATTTACATGTGGTTTTTCTTTAATGTGTTTGGGGGTTGTTTTTGTTTGTTTTTGTATTTGGGTGTTTGGTTTGGTTTGAGTCAATTTGGTGATGGTAGCAGCTTAGATTTTAGTTCTTTGTATTTTTGTTTGGTTATTTTTCGTCATTGTTTGCTTTGGTTGGTTGGCGTGGACATTTCCCTTTTGTGTGTGTGTGTGTGTGTGTGTGTGTGTGTGTGTGTGTGTGTGACTATCATCTAAATAAAACCACAGGCTGGGTTCTGAAGACCAAAATGGAGTCAGCCACAAAGTTAGCAAAGGAAAATTATATGAGAAGGAAAAAGTTCTAAACTCTGAAGTGAGAGAAGAATTTAGAATGTCCTAAGAGCTGGTGAATATTAAGTATTTAATCTTTTTGGTGGTATAATAAATAGAATTGTATTTTTTTAAGGTATGAGTGTGCAGGTGCACAAAAACCTCGGTGTCTGTCTTCAGGTGTCTGTCTTCAGATGTCTGTCTGTCTTCAGGTGTCTGTCTTCAGGTGTCTGTCTTCAGGTGTCTGTCTGTCTTCGGGTGTCTGTCTTCAGATGTCTGGTCTTCAGATGTCTGTCTTCAGATGTCTGTCTTCAGGTGTCTGTCTTCAGATGTCTGTCTGTCTTCAGGTGTCTCTTCCACCATTTCTTGAGTCAGGGCCTCTCACTAGCCAGGAGATGGCCAAGTGTAGGAGCCAGCCCAAGGAATCCTCATTTCAGCATCCCTAGAAATTACGATCTCACCACCAAGCCAGCCTGGCATGCTTTCATGTGGGTTCTGGGAATCAAACTCAGGGCCTGTGCTTGTAAGGCAAGCACTTTACCAACTGAGCCGTCTCCCCAGCCCCAAGAATTGTATTCCTAATTCAGTTTTTTGATTGTTCATTCCAAGAGTATAAAAGCATAATGGGTGATGGGGGGAACCCATGGCTCAGCTGAAGGCCCTTGATGCCAAACCAGGCAGTTTGATCCTGGAACCCACGTGATGAAAGGAGAGAACGGACTGCTTCATGTCTTCTCACCTACACACGCACCCTGTGGTGGTACACACACACACACACACACACACACACACACACACACACACACACACACACACACGCTACTTGTATATGGTATTCGAATGTGCTACATGACCGCTGATATTAGTCCTAGTTCTGCTCGTGGATCCCTTAGGATTTTCAAAATGAAAGACTGTGTCTGCTAGAAGGGATAGGTTGGCTGACATCTTTCCAAAATCAAGAGAAACAGCGAGAGGAACTCCATAAAAGTGGCTTCCTCAAAAATTCCCACAGAATTTCCAGGCAGGATCCCGCCTCTCCAGCTTACTGTCCCCCTCCCCCACCCCCTGGAACGCAATCTGCATGCTTGTCCTGGTCGCCATGGTGAGGGGAGCTCTGGACGCACTCATTCTAGCCGCCGGGAAATAGTAGTGTGTGGTTAGGGGTGGGTGGACCCCTGCCCATTCAGCGAGGGGATCCCGGGCCAAGTCCTGGTACCGAGTTAGGAACCATGCCTGTGGTGCTCCCCTCCACCGACCGCGGCCAGGACTCGCGCGTCGGGGCTCCAGAATGGCGCCAGGCGGCCCAGGCCACGTCTCGCAAGGCGCACCTTCTGACCGATCGCTGCGGGCAGGAGGCGGTGACCATGTGGCAGCCCAAAGACAGTGTACTGGACCCGAATGTGGCTCACCACCTGGGCCGAGCCGCCTACATGGAGCCCTGGCGCTTTCGCGTGGAGATGCTGAAAGGCGGCGGCACGCTGGAGAAGCCACCGCCCGGGGAAGGCGTCACTCTGTGGAAAGGGAAGATGAAGCCCCCGGCCTGGTACGCGCGCCTGCCGCTGCCGATGCACCGCGACGCGCGTGCCCAGCAGACCGCGGAGGTGGTGCACGCGCACGCGCGCGGAGCGCGCCTCACCGCCGCCCGCCTTGGCCGCGCGCAGCACCAGATCAATGGGCAGCTGCGGCTGCTGCTGCGCCAGCGCGAAGCCAGTGACCGCAGGCTCAGCGAGGTGCGCAAGGGCCTGCTCATCAACCAGCAGAGCGTCAAGTTGCGGGGCTACCGACCCAAGTCCGAGAAGGTGCGGCCCTCCCCGCCACCACACCGGAGGCAGAGGCTGATGCTTCCTTCCTCAGACAGATAAAAAACCTCCCACGCTCCATCTCCAGTGAGGATACCCTCAGGATAGGGTGGCTATGCCTCCGAGTTCCAAAGCCTGAGAGTTACCCCCAAAAGCGTTACCGAAATTGAAGTCACAGTCTGTGCCCCCAAGAAACCAAGTTTGGTCACCCGTCCTCTTTAAGCCAATTAGAACAGTCAAACTAATAGTAAAAAGCAGAAAGGGTATTTAATCAATGAGGCCGCATCGAGAAGAGGGACGAAGAAATCCATCCAGTGTCCCTCTTCTGTCCATCTTCGTGGTCCTCCGTGAGATTAAAGATGCTCACATCTAAGCAGTCCGAGTCCTAAGTAGTCCTGCCCATCGCTGACTTTTTGTCTCAGCTCTGTCTCTCCAGCAAGCTGGTCTGACGCAGCAGTCAGTACTGTGTGAAAACCCCTTCTGGGATGGAAGTTCCTCCTCCAGCTGGCAGAAGGCCTTTCCTTCTCCCAGCATGAGATGCCTGGGGTGAATTCCAGTTTCCTGGTGTTCACTGGTAATCAGATGGAAGGACATAAGTGTCTCTTTAGAATATCTCCGTTCCTGTCAGACTGCTTACAAACAAAATCCCCAGCCCCTTTCGACAATAGACAGACTGTCCCAAATCCTCCCTGAGTCACACTGCATGGAAATCTTCCTAACGAGCAAAATTCACAGCCCCAAGTCTGAACATTAACTCACCTCTACCCCTGCTCTAACAGTTTCCCGGGCCCACAGGGTCCCCCTTGGCCACAAGGCCTTGATGCCCCAACTTCCAGGGAGAAATACCTTCAGATCCAGCTAAGGAGGGCACTTGATGATGCCATGGGTCTCAAATCAGATGAACCACACCCTACACAAACAGAAAATAAAACCCAGCCCTGAGCTAGGTAGATAACTCATCGAGTAAGAACCCTTGCTATGTGAACTTGAGGATTAGAGTTTGAATCCTCAGCATCCACAGAAAAGCCAGGCGTGGATGAGAGTGCCTATACCCCTGGCACCGAGGGATGGAGACAGGTGGTATCCCAGGAGCCTAGCCCAAACTGTGAACTTTAAAAAGCCAGCAAACAGCTCCCTCAGCAAGTCATAGACACTTGATTTAAAAAAAAAAAAGCACCCCCAAATCTCTGCACAAGAGGGCCTCCAGCAGAGATCAATTCTCAGTGATAGCCTCAGCCCCACCCCCTACTCCCAACTCCCAACGGAGTGGGATTCCTCCAGGCCCAAGTTCCAAGCTCCGCAGTTCACAAGGATGTGACATCCTCTCCACCATGAAAGATAAAATCCCTCTCCAGCCTTCTCCTGAGAGTTTTCTCCCCTTGTCTTCTAGATTCCAGACAAGGCTGACAGCATGCTTGTCTGGGAGAAAGAGGAGCTGAAGTCCATGAAGAGAAAAATGGAGAAAGACATGGAAAAATCGGAGACCTTGCTCAAGGTCAGGGGGTACCTGGAGAGGGACGCCTGGATGTCTAATGCACAAACTGCTCTGACCTAAGGGGAGGTGAACACGGTCAAAGTACACTGTGTACAGTTATGACAATGTCACAGCGCAGCCCACAGTGTAAAATTAGCATATGCTAATAAAAAACTGTTTTGGTTTTTCAAGACAGGGTTTCTCTGTGTAGCGCTGGCTGTCCTGGAACTCACTCTGTAGATCAGGCTGGCCTTGAACTCAGAGATCTCTCGAATATTATTAAGGACCAGCCTTAATAATCTTCTTCCCAGGGGCCCAGAAGAGAAACTACAAATGGCGAGAATTGTTTTCAGGAGAAGAATCTAACTACGTCAAGCTCTTAGTCGGTCTACTTTATTCCTCTGGGATAAAATCCTGTCTACACAGCTACAGTTCTGTTCTGGTGCCTCGCTCCTTTCTTGCCTGATTTCTCTCTATATTTATCTACTGTCCCCTCTAGGTTCTATCTTAATTCTCTCATCTTAATTCTGCCTCATCTAGGTCCTTCTCATCTAGTTCTTGCCCATCTAGTACTTCCCCATCTGACTCTTCCTCATCTTCCATCTCATCCTCCTAGTTCTCCATCTAGTTCTCCAGTCAAAATCCTCAAAAATCCTGTCAATCTTCCTCAGGTCTCTGTGGTTTATGGTGATATACCCATACAACAGCAGTGCTCTCGCTAAAGCAAGGTCACCAGGCTTGAATTCTTCCAGGGCCATGAAGGCAGGCAAGAGTTTTCCTCAGGCAGTGACTGTCAGGCTTTCTTTTACAACCCAAAAGGGGAGTGGTAAAGGAGGAGATCAACTGAGAGATAAAATCGCTTAAGAGATCAGAGAAAGGAGACGGGCGGTGGTGGCGCAGGCCTTTAATCCCAGTACTCGGGAGGCAGAGCCAGGCGGATCTCTGTGAGTTCGAGGCCAGCCTGGGCTACCAAGTGAGTTCCAGGAAAGGCGCAAAGCTACACAGAGAAACCCTGTCTCGAAAAACCAAAAAAAAAAAAAAAAAAAAAAAAAAAAGAGATCAGAGAAAGGGAATTTATATGCTCATTCTACATTCCTAGAACTGGTTAGATGTTAGGAGTCTATAATGTTAGTAAGGCTGTATAAGAAAGGAGGGTCTCAGCTAAAATTGCACAAGAAATAAAGCTATCCGCCTGACCTAGGAGACGCAGGGGTTGTTCCCATAAGGATGTTACCTTAGTTCAGGAGATCATTTGGCCTTGGATGCTTGATAGGCATGTACCACTACTGACTGGCAATAAAAAACATTTTTAAAAAACCACAGCAAACAAATAAATAGCCCTCTTCTCTTGATACCCAGCTGCTAGTCAGTCCTGTCTACAGATTGGGAATGATACCTGACCAATTTGCCCCTGTTAGCTGAGCACCAAACCCACACTGAGCACACTCTCTGGCACACAGTAGGGACTTGATAAATATTTGGATTCCTGTAGGGAAGACTTTTTTTTAAGTACTAGGATTGAACACACTGAATTATACCACAGCATCATTTTTTGATTGTTTTAAATGATGTGTATATTGGAAAGGGAAGCTGCACATTTTATTCAGGTGCCCCTAGGAAGCCAGTGATATCAATTCTTCATGGAGCTGGAACGATACAGTTGTGAGCTGCCCAGTGTGGATTCTCTCCTTCTACCATATAAGTCCTAGGTTTCAAACTCAGGTCATCAGGATTAGCTGCAGGCAGCTGTATCTGCTAAGCCATCTTAAGTAGTTTTTTTCTCAGTATCAGATGACAAATGCCTTCAGCCCTGTGTTCTGTATACTCCATCATAACTACTCAAGGAGGCCAGAGCCCCATAAAGTCACCAGAACCAGTGTGCCCAGGAAAAGGCCTATAACTGTGTCCTGATTAACATAAATAAATAGGGGGCTGTAGACATGGCTCAGAGGTTAAGAGCACTGGCTGCTCTTCCAGAGGTCCTGAGTTCAATTCCCAGCAACCACAGGGTAGCTCACAACATCTTATAATGGGATCTGATTCCCTATTCTTGCATTCAGGTGTACAGGCAGATCGAGCACTCATATCCATAAATAAATAAGTCCTTTTTTAAGGTTTAAATAAATAAAAATCAAAGCAGGCCACCAGTCCACAGGCTGTAGTTTGCTAACCACCACCACCACCACCACCACCACCCAAAAAGTAATAAAGCCAAACTATCAGCTTGGTTCAGGAGATGAAGAGAAGAGGCACCAGGAAAATGCACGGGTTACTGAAAGGCTCTGCAGCATCTAGGTGAAAGGTGTGTTTACAAGGATATATACATATGCAAAAAGACTTCTGTTTTGATGACGTTGGGCTTCACAAGAACAGTGAGCTGGGCGAGCTTAGAGGCCCAAGTGCTTTGTGATGGGCTCGGCCCCTCCCCTGACCTCCAAGCTTAGTTTTTGCCTTCTTTCTCTCAGGCTCTGGCCTCCTGTCGGGACACGCTGGACTTCTACTGTCAGGAAAGGCTTCAAGCTGTGGAACTCGTGAACCAGCCTCTGGACAAGGTTCTGGAGCAGGCTGGCCGCCACTCGTGGGTGGACATCACTCGACCCCCAACTCCACGAACTCAAGGCCAGAAAACACCTCCTCCTGACCCCGTGGGCACCTACACCCCAGGTAGGCACCACAGAAGGGTGTCTGCTAAACCTACAGCTCCCTTAACTAACTGTTCCTTAAGTACACAGCCTTGCTTGGCCTCTTTCCCTGGACACTTCCGACAACACTCATACATTCACAGAGTCTACTTCAAAAGAAGTCAACCCTAACGCACGATTTAAATTATCCTCACTTACTAGCCCTTATCTGGGCTTTCCAGTCCTTCATCCATGGCGCTTCACCCCTGGCCCACCACCATCATAGAGAGGGTAGCAGGGGAGAAGGGGAGGAGAGCCAGAGATGCCTGTGGCCCCATGTACATCCTGTGCTTTCACAGCCTGCGCTAAGGCCTTGTTTGAAGCCAAGCGCTTGTTGATGGAGTCCAAAGACACCTTAGCGGAGATGGCAAAGAACGAGGTGGACATTCAGAATCAACAACAGAACATCAGCGACCGCGTATGCGCTTCACTGGCACAGAAGATGCGCGAGACCCTGGAGTTGAAGGTGCCCACGCGGCCTGGGGAGGCTCCAAGAGGGTGGCTGCTGCTGGAGTGGGTGGGGACAGACACCCAGTAAGAGACCCCTGTGCGCCCCCATCTGCAGGAAAGAATGACTATGACTTTAGGGCTAATGAGGGGAACTATCCACCGGTGCATGAAATTCAATCAAGAGATGTATGTCACGAGGGGCCTTATCAAGGTAAGGTTTGAGGGAGAATAATCTGTGAGAAGGGGGCGGGGGAGGGCAGGTATCGGGTAGGCTCGGCCTCACTGCTCCCCACAACGAACTCTGCCAGGGTCCTCTGCTGAAAAGGAACCTGGAGGCTCGAGAGAAACTGAACAGACCCTTGGTTCGCATGTATCAGAGACACGTGGGCACTCAGCTCCCCGAGGCTACGCGCCTTGCCCAGGTATGGCCCCTCCGTGTGCCCCTCCAAGTGCCCCTCCATGGCCTGGTAAGCTGCCTCCCCCAAGCTTCCTGACCAAGGAAGAACTGCCCGCTGCAGGTCCGCCTCTGACAGCTAGCTTTTCAAGCCGGCCGGGTGGCCCTCCCACAGCCCAGCTCTTAGCATACACAGCTCAGATGTGTTCCACCATTCCTGGAGCGCCCCGCTACAAGAGCTTCTCCTCCCTCAGCCATCTCGGCCATTTGTGTTTGTGCTTTGTTTTTTTTTAATGTTTTTCACGCAAACCTGGGCCAGCTTTTTTCCTGGGACCCCTGTAACTCATCTATGCTTTTCCGAAAGTGGGGTCCTTCCAGGTGGACGCCTGGCCCAAGTGTTAACACCTGCCTCCTGCATAGAATTCTGACCCGCTTCACATCTACTCTATGCTCTTGACTGCCCGATGTAGCACCAGCTGAAGGCTCTGGGTTTGGCTCGACAGTCTTCCAGCACTGCCCGCTCCCTTCCCAGTACAGCTCCTCCCTCCCCAACACCAACCAACTTTTCCCCAGCAAGGATCTTACTACATCTCAGTATGACCCCGCTCCGCCCTAACACATCGCTTCCCTTACCAATACGGCCCCTCCTCCTCCCCAGTACCACTCCGCCCCACCTCAGAACAGCCCCACCGCTCCCAGCACTGCCTCGATCCTCCCCAGAAAGACGTCGCTAGCTCCATTACTTCCTAAAAGCCCCAACCCTGCCCAGAACGCCCACGCCCCTGCCCCAGCGCGGCCACGTCCCTTCTCCACAAGGCCTGAGCCCCCACAGCACAGACCTGCTGTCCTGTCCCTTTTAAAGCACCGGCCCTCCCCTGCGAAGCCCCCAGCTCCTTTGCCAGGACCCGCCCCTCCCAGCGCAGCCTGGCCTCCTCCTCGCCGAGGCCCCGCCCTTCCCCAGCGAGATCGCTGCCCCTCCCTCTCCAGGGTACTGACAAGCTGACGCGCCACAACTTGCACATGGAAAAGAATTTAGCGGAGCTCCGTACAACACACGACAACCTCGCCTGGAGCCTCAACTGCAAAAAGATAGGACATGATGTTGACTACGATGTGGTGCGCCTGCGCCTACGCCAGCGCCACCCACATGTGTGCTATGAGCAGGCACAGCGCCTGGTCAACGACTGGGACCCTCGCACACCACCGCGCAGCCAAACCAGTACCGCCCCCAAGTGACCTTGGGCTCAGGCGACTGGAGAGATAGATGTTCCCAAATGGATGGCCCTCCCTCCCTCTGACTCATCTTCCCTCCAAACGCCCTCTAGCAGAACTATAATTAAATATATTGTCACTTATTAGGCACCTACTGTATGTCAGTCGTGCCATAAAAACCTATGTACTTGTTGTCAAATTGTTAGGGTTCAAATCCCAGGTCCCTGGTTTCAAGCTGTTTGGCTTTGGGCCACATACACTGCCTTTCTTTGACCTCAGTCTCTCCAGCCTGTGAAATGAATATTACAGCACCTATTTTGGATGGTTGTGGGAAGAACAGAAGAATATATCGGTAGAAGGTCAGTAGCATAGCTGCTGCCTATCATAACGTGAGCAGTAACATAAGCTGTTATTACTTAATAACAGCTCCACCTTATCGTTGAGGAAACGGAGGTGTAGAGAAGTTAAGCCGATTGCCCAAGGTCACACAGGATCTTCATCCATCGCTACAGAGTCTGCCCTCTTAGCAGAATGCCTCTGATCTCTGCTTCTCTCCTCATCCCACAAAAAGTCCCAGGCCCTGAACCAGGCCGGTGGCAGCACTGGGCACAGCTGATACGGTGGTCACTGCCCTGGGGAAGCTCACAAACCCACTCCCTGCTGCCGGCAGTGTTCTTTTGGGAGAGGCCCTTGAGTGTTCACATCCTCCTGTGTGCTCCGGTACCCTTGAACACCAGCAGAGAACTCTACTGTCTGTTCTTCCTGGGTCCCAGGGCCTGGGATATACAGACAAGGGTGATTGTTGCAGTCACACTGGGAAATCTGAATTCACGGATTCAACCAGTGTCAACTTGAGAAGAGTCTCAGGACTCCTAGGGCTCAGACTTCTGCGTTAGCACCTGTCAGGCTCTCTCCTCTTCCCCCCACCAATCAGGAAGGAGCACACTCACTGAAAGGGAATTATGAGGAGTGTTTGTTTGTTTGCTTTTTGCTTTTTCAATTATGTGTACTTGTATTGGGAGGTCTGTGTGCATGTAAGTGCAGTGGACCACAGAAGCCAGAGGAGGGCGTCAGATCCCTAGAGCTGGAGTTGTAGAGTGTTGTAAGCCACACTTTGTTGATGCTAAGAGCTGAGAGCTGAATCCCCATCCTCTGTAAGTACAGTACACACACTCTTAACCATTGAGCCATCTTTCAAGCCCCAACTCAAGGGAACTTAGTAAAAAGACATGATGGTTGAACTTCACCAATCAGATTCCATACTTGTGCATTCCCCTCCTCATTAAGAAAAATCTTGGAGCCACCAATCAATGCTTGTGATGCTTTTGCGGTCATCTGTAGACCGTCACAGAGCAGTGGAAGTCTCCAGCCATTCTGACTCACCACAGGCTCCCCTAGCAGGGACAAAGCAGGAGAGGCCCCACCCCCTTGCTTCAGCCCCCTAACTAGGAACAAGTGTCCTCCTGGCAGGCTACTTCTCACCCTCTGTCTGCACTTCTCATGCTTCCCGTTCGTGGTTTCACTGTGTCAGATGCCCTCCAGAGGTAGTGCACAAACTGTCTTAAGATCCCTAAGTGCAGGGCTGGAGAGAGAGCTCGGCAGTTAGAGCACTGGCTGCTCTTCCAGAGGTCCTGAGTTCAATTCCCGGCAACCACATGGTGGCTCACAAACACCTGTAATAGTACCTGATGCCCTCTTCTGGCATGCACATGGTGGCTTACAATCATCTATAATAGGACCTGATGCCCCCTTCTGGCAGGCAAGTATACATGCAGGTATACATGCAGAGCATTCAAACATAAATTTAAAAAAAAAAAAAAAAAAAACCCTAAGTGCAAAAAGGTCATGATGTTTCTTGGCGAAAAACCACGCCGCAAGGTGTGTTGGCACAGATCTGTCATCCAAGCATCTGGGTGGAGGCAGGAGGATCAAGAGTTCAGGTTCATCCTCAGGTACACAGTAAGCTCAAGGCCAGCCTGAGCCACGAGAGACCTTTCCAAAAAAAAAAAAGAGACTGGGCTAAACAAAAACCAAACATACCACTCCCTCTAAACTCCAGAGACCGTTGCAGAAGAGGTAGGAGGACAGTGAGAGCTCGAAGAAGGTGAATGGCTAAAGAATACCGTCTTCTAGACAGGACAGATGCGATCATGAACCCATACAGGCTGGGGCAGCCTGCAGCCGGGCCTAGCAAAGACTGAGCCCATCATCAGTTAGGTATGGATGGAGGAGGGATTCGTGGGGCTCTACTCTTTCCTGGTGGCTACTGATAGATTCATGGAGGAAAGTCAATGTCTTAAATTGAGTACCCACTGATAAACCCACCAGGCTCCAATGGGTCGTTCTAATCCAATGGTCACACAGACCTGGTTAAACTCAGTGGGTAACAAAACAAAAAGACATCAATCTGTGAAGGGAACTGATAGGGATGAGAGGGAGATAAAGGGGTGGGAGGGATCAGAATGTGTCATATATATGTATGAGAGTGTCAAAGGACAAACTTAATCACAGGGGAGGCTGGGGAGATATCTCAGTCAGAAAAGTGAGGACCCGAATTCAGATCCCCAACACCCAAATCAAAGCTGGGCCTGGCAGTTCTAATCTGTAACCTCAGAGCTGAGGGGCCTGAGACAGACCCATTCCTGGGGCTTGCTGGCCAGCCTGTCTAATCAATTGGTAAGCTCCATGCTCAGCAAGAGACTCTGTCTCAAAACCTAAGGTGGAGAGTGACAGAAGAAGCCACCTGATGTTAACCTCTGGCCTCCACATACACACATGTGCACATGAGCCATATGCACACATGCACACACATACATTCATAAACACTATACCACACAAACACACACAAAAAAAATAAATAAAAGACTGACTCGTCATATAAGCTTTATTTAGGCTCAGATTACAATGCTGTTTACTGTAAACGCATCAACAATATATCCTAAATAAAGTACCTTTAAACAGAAGCCGAAAACAAGGTTGGGTGTGGATTATTTGATTAGAATGTGGTCAGAGGTTCACAGTAAACTCACCTTTCACTTCCCAAAAGAGCCATGGTCCAGCAATTACTGATTTGGTGCTCACAGGGACTTTCTAAAGCATAGCTAGAGTGACACTGTTTTTACAAAGATGTGAGTTGTGTGCCAAGAAAACATCCGGTGACAGAGTGGCACTAACCTGCTATTAACTGCTGGGGTTTTTCCACAGGTGGGTTTCAAGGGCCCGAAGCTGTTAGGAAACTGCAGGGTGGACCCCACTGGCTGCTGCTCCCTATAGATAGAGCCACTTGGTTTGTTTTGTTTTTTTTTAAGGTACAGCACTTCCTTCCCTGCACGCAGGTCTGCTTGTTGATGCTCAGAAGCCATCCTCAGGGATGCAAATGTTCTTTTTGCAAGTGATGCCTTGCCTCACGGGTTGTAGGCTACTGCCCTCATCCTTGCTGACACAGCCCCATTTGTCACCTATCCTTACACAATCTTCCCACGCAGCATTTGCGCAATCCCACCGCGACTGGGACACCGGAGGTGTCAGCTGATTCCCAGGGGTGAGTTCCGGGGACTCGGCAAGACACTTCCTCTGGGAGGCCATAAGGTGGCGTCAAATCCACACTTTCGAGAAGAGGGAATAAGCTGGAGGCTGTGATAAGGCTCAGATACGTCACTCAGCAAATGCAGGGCTCAGTTTGACTTGTCAATACCGGCCACAAAAACACAGGAACAAGAGCAAGAGTTGGCCGGCAGGGTTGTGTCACTGAAAGCGCTTCCACATAGCAAAGGGAGCCATCGACGACACAGAGATGCCTCTAGCATAAGAGAGAGTATTTATTCCATCTGATTGAGGAATAGGCAATGTCCAGAGCAGTAGTCCTCAATCTGTGGCATGACCCCTTTGGGGGTCGAATGACCCTTTCACAGGGTTGCCTAAGACCATCAGAAAACACAAATATTTACATTACAGTTCGTAACAGTAGCAAAATTACAGTTATGAAGTAACAATGAAAATAATTTTATGGTTAGGGTCACCCCAGCATGAGCTGTATAGAGGGTCTCAGCATCAGGAAGGTTGAGAGCCACTGGTGCAGAGTATACATGGAACTAAAAGATATTAACCAAAATAGGTAGTCCAACGTGAAATTGGGAAATGAGCTGGACAGACAGCTCTTTTGAAATAGTCTAGGTCTGCAAGTCTTCCCTTCTACACTGGACACACCTGACTCACTTGTTCAAAGGCCTTTAAAAAAAACAAAAAAAACAAAAACCATTTATTTATTATGTATATGGTGTTCTGCCTGCAGGCCAGAAAAGAGCGCCAGATCTCACTACAGATGGTTGTAAACCACCATGTGGTTACTAAGAATTGAACTCAGAACCTCTGGAAGAACAGCCAGTGCTCTTAACCACTGAGCCATCTCTCCAGCCCATTCAAAGGCCTTTTTAATCTCACTTTGAAATAGCTGCTGGACCTAGAGAGGTGGCACAATGGTTAAAGAACAATACACACTTGTGTAACAGTTTCCTCTGGGGTTAAAATGTTCCATTTTGGAGGGAAACCTCTTAAAACATAGGCTGTAAAGCTAGAGTTTGGTTGGTTGGTGGTTTGGTTTGGTTTGGTTTGGTTTGGTTTGGTTTGGCTAGGTTTGGTTTGGTTTTTCAAGACAGGGTTTCTCTGTGTAGCTTTGGAGCCTGTCCTGGAACTCACTCTGTAGTTCAGGCTGGCCTTAAACTCAGAGATCCACCTGCCTCTGCCTCCTGAGTGCTGGGATTAAAGGCGTGTGTGCCACTACCGCTGAGCAAAATGTGTTCTTTTAGGACAGAATGTTTCCAAGGAGGTGAAACAATAGATTGTACTGGGGGTGGGGGTGGAGGGGTGGACACTGTATCTCAAAGGGAAGTTCCATAAAGACAGAATAATACAACTCAAAATAGTTTCAGGAAGTCCCTGAAACTGAGCAGATTCACAAGAGTCACTCTCAGTAAAGCCAAGCTGCCTAGAAGAGTCTCAGACAACCCAAGCCTCTAAAAGGGGCTCGGACCGACTGAGCTTCCTGGAAAGGACACCCTCTAACTTGTTGAGCAGCTATAGACTGTGCACTGTGCTCCAGGTTTCCAGCTCTCATACTGGAGAAGGCTTTGGTGATGCAGCTGTCTTTGAATCGTTTGGGGTCCTGTAATTAACCCATCACCCATATTCCTATAAGTAACCCCAATGAAATTAATTGGTTCACCAAGTTAGATTTTGGTGGTATTTGTACTTTGGTTCTCTAACTGGGGTCAGCAGAAATTTCTTCACATCTCCCCAAGAACAGTGTCACACAAAACACACGCACGTGTGCACACACACACAGACACACACACACACACACACACACACACACACACACACGAAAATGAAAAGCAAAACAATAAAATGCTGTGAAGCATGAGAAGTGCATATTTATTTTTTTCTTCTTTATTTACTTGCTTGCTTACTTACTTATTGAGACAGGATCTCACTAACTAGGCCAGGCTGGCTCAAAATTCTCCTGCCTCAGTCTCCTTGTAATGGAGATTACAAGTATGTGCTACTAGACAGAGCAATTTTGTCTGCAAAATATCCTATTGATTTTACTTTTGTATCCACCCATTTTTTACTACTGTAACTAAAATACTTCAAGCTTGGTAACTTTAGAAAGAAAAACAATTTATTTAGTTCACACTTCTAGAGACTCAAGGACACAGAAAATGGAACCAGGTCAGCGCTGGTGAGGACCTATATTAAATAACATGTGTAAGTATGAGAGACCCCACCTGTGGTCTTTGAATGAGAATGGCCCCCATAGGCTCCCATATGCTGAAACGCTTGGTCCCCAGTTGTGTAACTGTTTGGGAAGATTTAGGAGGTGTGGCTTTGTTGGGGGAGGTGTGGCTTTGTTGGAGGTGGTCTTTGTACTTTGGTTCTCTAACTGGGGTCAGCAGAAATTTCTTCACATCTCCCCAAGAACAGTGTCACACAAAACACATGCACGTGTGCACACACACACGGACACACACACATAGGCACACACACACACACACACATGAAAATGAAATGTTGGAGGAGGTGTGGCTTTGTTGGAGGAGGTGTGGCACTGGAGGGGGTACTTTAAGGTTTCAAAAGTCCATGAAATTCCCAGTTATCACTCATGTTCTCTCTTCCCCACCCCAAAACGTGAGAATCAGATGTAAACTCCCATCTAATGCTTCAGCTGCCTGCCTGCTGCCATGCTCCCCACATGATGGTCGTGGACTCACCCTGTGAACCTGTAAGCCCCAGTACACTCTTCTATACATTGTCTTGGTCATGATGTCTTACCACAGCAATACAAAAGAAACTAAGACACTGTTTCAAGCCAGAACGACATGGATGGATTCAGGGTCAGGCTTGTCCTTGTAATAACTCTCACTAGAGCTAAATCCTAGATCTGCCCCCATGTCTGTCCCTCAGCTTCATACCTCTTTGGTTGAACAACCCACGAAGTTAATTAGTGCTTCTCATAGGTGCATAGATAGGTGGCCATCTAATGGTAGGCTTCACCTCTTAAAGATCCCCAAACTGCTAATACCTCCACACTAGAGACCAGGCTTCCAATACTGAGGGGTGAACCACGCTCAAATCATAGCACTCTTGATAATCTTAAACACATTTCCTTCCACCCTTACCTCCACGCTACCCCATTTGTGGTCCATGCCAACATCCACCTGGGTGTTCCTATGAAGCCTCCTGCCTGGCCGTCTGTATTAGTTACTTTTCTGTTGCTATGATAAAATATGACCGAAAGCAACTTAAGAAAGAAAGGGTTTATTTTAGCTTACATTTC